CCATGAGCAAGCACTTGGAGACAGTGGCAAGGAAAAATCAGATCAATCAGTATATATTTTTAATTTTACTAACATGAGTTTGTCAACAGTGTGTCACTGAATTAGTAATTTATTGATGGTAGGGTTGATAGGTGAGCTAACTGCCCTCTGACTGTCAACACTGGGTGAAACTGAGTAAGATGGCGCTGCTGGCTCCACTACAACAATACAGGCTCACAATAACATCTCTGTCTGTCTTTCTGTCTGTTGCTACAGAAACGGAGAGGAAGAGATGGACTCAAACGTTTCTACTGTGAGGACTGCGGCAAATCCTTCACAAAATCATCGTCTTTAAAGATTCATCAGAGAGTTCACACTGGAGAGAAACCATACAGCTGTGACCACTGCGAGAAAGCATTCAACTCTTTGAGTAATCTAAAAATCCATCGACGTGTTCACACTGGAGAGAAACTGTACAGCTGTGAGCAGTGCGAGAAAGCGTTCAACTCTTTAAACAATCTAAAAACCCACCGACGAGTTCACACCGGAGAAAAACCGTACAACTGCGACCAATGCACTGCAGCGTTCACACAGTTGAGTACCTTAAAAGCTCACCAGCGCAGACACACTGGAGAGAAACCCTACTGGTGTGACCAATGTGGGAAAAGTTTTACTCAATTGACTCAGTTGAAAAACCACCAACACATTCACACTGGAGAGAAACCGCACAGCTGTGACCAGTGCGAGAAAGCTTACACTACAGCGTATGAACTCAAAAGGCACCAGCTGGTTCACACTGGAGAGAAACCATACGGCTGTGACCAGTGCGAGAAAGCTTTCACCGCATCAAGTGACCTAAAGAAGCACCAACGCGTTCACACTGGAGAAAAACCGTACAGCTGTGACCAGTGTGAGAAAGCCTTCACAACGTCAAGTCATCTGAAAGTCCACCAGCGCAGTCACACTGGAGAGAAACCGTACTGGTGTGCCCGCTGTGGGAAGACTTTCACTACGATAGATAACCTGAAAATACACCAACATGTTCACACCGGAGAGAAACCCTTCCGGTGTGAGCAGTGTGGCAAACGTTTTACTCAGAGTAGTTCTCTTAAAGTTCACCAACGCGTTCACGCTGCACTAGTTTGATTCCAGAGCAAAGCTGTTGACTCCGGCCTCCCGTCCACACTCTGATGTTTTTCTACAAACTCAAGGAATAGACAACAATAACTGACTACCTTCTGCCCTCCCATGTTACAAAATGCTCCCTTCGTCACACACTATGTAACCATGATGCCAACCTTCTGCTGGAAGGAGAGGGTCAGAAACAGGCTAAACTAAAGTTTCAATCATGGAAACAACAGTTGGCACAAGCTTAATTTGCTCTCCCAGTTATCCATAAGTGGACGTAGAAACGCTCTCAAACATCCATTTGATGCTCCACTATAAACCCTGCTCACTGTGTACAGACATATATATTCATCTATCTAATCAATATCAAGTCAATTTGTATTTTTTTTTGCAGTATTTGTATCGTTTATAACTTTACTTGTATATGTTGTTTACAGCTGGTATTTAGACTCACTGTGATCACAGATCTCATTGACCACAGATCTTCTGTAGTGTGAACTCTAGTGAGTCCTGGTCCACACTGAAGGTCAGACCGGATCATATTTGAGCTCTTTTACCTGCAGAGATCAGCAGCAGATGTTTGTACTGATGGACTAGTAACCTCAATATTACTAGACTCCATTACTTTAGTTACTTTAAGATGTGGAAACATTTCACATCAAGTTATTTGTTACTTATTTCCAATGTGTTGGTCAGACGGCGTCCAGCGTCCTCTTCTGCGTCCACTGTGAGACACTGTTACTGTCTCTGACATTAATGTCTGTCTGCATCATCTGAGAGCTCAAACATCACATTTACACTCACTCACAGGAAGGAAGAGTTCACCTATAAAATCCCACAATGCACCACAGAGTGTCTCTCCTGCAGGCTGCTGATAGAGACAGTAAGAGAGGACAGTGATAATGGACACTGACTGACTGCAGGTTACTGTCCTCTTGTGTTTATTTAGAGCAGGAAGTGAGGTCACTGCAGACTCATTGTGATAGCAGCTGTAAACTGACTGTTGGTGCTTTTTATATATTATCAATATATTATCAATATATTATCAGTTCATATGTATAAATATATACATTTGTATCGATACTTTCATACAAAAACATTAATACTTGTATTACTAAAAACGACTTTCTGCTGCCTGACTGAAAGATCAATCAGCTGATATTGATCGATCATATAGATATATAATATTCTTCATAACACGTTCTCAACCTTTTAAAGGTCACAACCTCCAGAATAATCAGGATGGTGTTTGTGAATTCTCGTCTGCTCGAAACTGTTCAGGGATCATTTACATTTATAAAATGTTTTTGCAAAATCGCAAAACCTACTTTTTCGAGCTCCAACGTTTTTTTGCAAGTTATAAAGAAACAACTACCTGTAGTGTTCACAGGAAACAGTTTCTCACTAAATTCTAAATGCAGATTATTAAAAAGACACAGTTCAATGCCCTCTTGTTGCATACTGACAAAGAATGTGTTTGCCATGAATTCAGTGACGGATTACAAACTGAAATATTGAAGTGTTTTTCTTAATAAATCTGACACTGATGGTTCTGTGCTGTATTTTATTTTTGTTGGCTTTTTCTTTTTCTACTAAAAATGTCAGAAGATACTTTAATATTAACTTAAATATTTCAGTTGGTCCCATCGAACCCCCAGGTTGAAAGCCGCTGTCATATCTGTATCAGCATTATGCTTGTGCTAATATATTAGTGTCCGTGTAAAGTTTGTCCAGCAGTGGGCGCTGTGGTTTACAAGTTCACCAGAAAAGCTTTATTCTTTACAGTTATACAGTTATATTACAGTTTATAATTCCTCTGCAGTCTGAGGCAGTTTATTCCTGTTACTGGAGCCTCGACTCTCCTGATATATTAACGTGTGTAAGTTCCAAACTGTACAGCAAACACGACTAATTGATATCTTTTTATTTTACTTCAGTGATATCACATGATGCTATTAGACGTTATAACACAGAAAGTTTTCCACAGCAGAAATTGTGTTCCTCACTCAGTTAATCTGTACATTCAGTCCTTTTATATTGATCCTTACTGTGTTTATTAAACATAACTCTCTCTTTTTAAGCAACGTTCCACACTAGTT